ATGGGCGGCCAAACGATGGCACGCGACCGCGTAAACTACCCTTCACGTGGCCGCGAACCCCAATGAGGAACCCGAAAGTCGCCCATCGGGGGGGGAACGAACCGGCCCTAGGGGCACAACGAGGGCCGAAATTCATCGCCTGGGGATGGGTACCGCCACGCAGACACAGCAGCACGCTCAAGTCGCGCATCTACCGCAATCTCGAAAATAAGCTCAGAAGCCGAGCAAGCCGAGAAAACATGGGGATGATAATGAAAAGGAGGAGGCACCAACTCCCGCACCACACCCCCCAGCTGGGCCAATTTAGTTTCAAACCCTTGCCCAAAACAACGCATAAACAGGAAGGTGTACGCGGGTATACAACCGGTGCGATTTTAACTCGAGAACCCGATGGTGAAAACCCATTGTTCAACTTCATTTTCTGGTCGGAGGAAGCGATCATTCCAAAACGCAAGAAAACGCACAACTAAACGTTTCATTCAGCGCAGCCTGAACGCGCGGGCGCGCGCGCGTCGCGACCCGCCACGCCCGCGCATACATTTGTATACAAAGCGAACAACGTTAACTCGAAAACCCAACGGCGCAACTTTAATGTGCGGTTGCAATCTCTGGTCGGATATGGTTGTCGTTTGACTGTAGACTATACGGGCTCACGCCCAATTCGCCCCGCGCGCGTGCCCCCCCCACCCCTTCGCCCGCCTTCCATCCTGCGTGCGCAGTTTGATGCACTTGCGGAGATGCTAACTCGAAAATCGAATGGGGACAACCAAGTGTAGCTTCACTTTCACATCGGGAGGAGCTGTCATCGCATAGTGGATGATACGGCAGAAAAATTATGAAAGCAGCCCACGCGCGCGCGCGCTCCCCCGCCACCCTACCCGCCACTGAGCATACAAATGTACACAATTGGAGCGATGTAATCATGGAAACCCAATGGTGAAACCAATGGTGGAACACCATTGTGACACTTCAGTTCAAGGTGGGGGAGGATTGGCTTTTCAACGTGGCGTACATGCGCAAAGGACACTGCGCGCGCAATGCAACCCACGCGCGCTCGCCGTCCACACCAATGTAGACAATGTTTGTGCAGCGGGAGCGGTGTTAACTCGAATACGCGATGGTGAAAACCCAATGTAAAATATCATTCTCAAATCGGTGAAGGCAGTCATCCCAGCGTGAGGTGTGCGAAACTGCATAATCAATATAACGCACGCGGGCGCGCGCGCGCCCCCGCGCTCGTCGCAATCGTGTATATTGTTTTTTTCTGCCACGGGGGCGATGTTAACTCGAAAACCCAGCGGCGAAAACCCAATGTAAAATTTCATTCTCGGATCAAAAGACGCGCTGCATTCAATCTTGATTATAAGAAAACGTTGCGATCGACGCAGCCCACGCGCGCGCGCGCTCACCCCGCACCCCTCCCCCCCTTCGTCACCGGCCCCTTCCCCGATCCAACGCTGCCGCGTATACTTTTGCACGCGCTCTGAAAAATGTCAATTCAAAGGCCAAGTGGCGAAGCGCAATTGTAAAACGTCAATTTCAGATCGGGGGGGCTGCCGCTTCAATGTGGGATTTGCGAAACCGTGCACTCAATGCACTCCGCGCGCTCGCTCGCGACCCCCCCCCTCCCGCCCGCGCCCGAGCCCTGTGCCTGCAGTTCAATGTGACTGCGGCGTTGTACTCTGGAAAATCAGCAGATGAAAACCACGCGTTTCTGCATCTGCACATGAGACAATGAGCGTCTCCGACGCAACGTGGAATATGCGAGACTGCGCGCCCAATGCTGCCCTCGCGCGCGCGCGCGCCCACCCGCGCCCGCCGCCGCGCTGCATGCAATGATGAACGAAGAAACCGATGTTGACTCGAAAACCCAATGGCGAAAACCCAAAGTAAACATTCATTCTCGGATCAGAAGAGGCGCTCTACTCAATGTGAAGTTGCGAATGCGCTGCGCTCGACGCAGCCCACGCGCGCGCGCGCGCGCCCCCCCTCGACCCGTCGCGCCCGCTTGGGCAGCGTTGCGCGGCGGAAAGCGATGACACATGAAACGCCGATTGTAGTGCAGACGAATACGCATCACAATGGAGCGCGCGCGCGCTGCAGTCCGCCCCCGCCCCTATACCAGGGGGATTTTGTTAGCCGAGACACCGCGCGGCCAAAGCGACGTGGTTTCAGCTGTCAGATCAGACGAGGCAGCCATGTGAATAACCATTACACAGATGCGCATGCACAGGCGGGCGCGCTCACCAGGGGGGTGGGTCGCCCAGGTAGCGGGCCACCCAGGTCGGTGGATTACATCGGCGGGTGGGTCGCCAGCGCGGGTGGGTCAGTCAGGTGGGCCGGTCGCCCCAGTGCGAAGGTCACCCAGATGAGTGGGCCACCGAAGGGCGTGGGTCACCCAGGTGGGTGAGTCACCCAGGTGGGTGGGTAAACGCGGCGGGTGTATCATTAATGATGAAAAAGCATGCGCGACGCAACGGGCACGCGCGTGCGCTGCATGGCGCGCGCGTCTCCGCGCAGTCCGCGTTGAGATGGTCACGCGCGCGTTGCGCTGCGCGCGCGCTCCGCGTGCCCAATTTTAAAACAAACGCATCTTCTCACCAAACAGTTCAAGTTTTAGTTTGGACGTTGAAAAATTGGTTTGCGATTCAGCGTTGCCATCGCCACATGAAGATACTCAATGCAGCGCGCGCGCGCTCGGCGCAGCGCGGTCATCCGCTCTGTTTAAACCTTGTGCAACGACGAGCCGTTGCTGATGCGCCTGCGGCCAGGGTCTGGCAAATTACTCCATGCAGCGGCGAACAGATTTTGTCGATTTCCTCAACGACTGGGCGGGTCGCGACGGGGCGGGATGCGAACTGAATTAAACAAGTTACCAGGGCTAGCCGAAGAGGCCCCCACGCCGTTGCCCCCGATTGGGGCGGGCGCGCTCGGAGCGCAACGTCAACGTTACCCTCTGCGAAGCGCGCCGCCATCACAGCGAGGGGGGGGGGGGGGGGCTGGCAAAGTCAGAGCGGAGTTCCCTCGATCGTTGCCCGATGGGGGCGGGGGCACATGTCTTTCTTGCCACTTTAATTTGACATGTGAGTTTTGACGTACCAGAGACAGCTCTCAATTAAGCAACGGCATGGCTGCGTCGCGCATCGCGCGCGCAAGAACCTACGTCCATGGCGCCCGTTGGATGGTGGGCGCAAGCGGCGCGCGTTCCTGCGCGCCGTGGACGTCGCTGCGAGCTGACCGCGGGCGAACTTCCCGAAGAGGGCAACTACCGAGGCGCGAATCATCCTTCGGCGGGCAAAAACAACTCCGACTTCATTTCCAGCGCGAAATCGACAACGCCGATTGGCCACGAGCTCGCGCCAGAGAGCCTCTTCCGACAGAATTGAAACGCACGGACATTCACTGCCGTGACCTCAAAGCGAACGCCGCCCAAAAGGAAGGGAGCGGGAGACAAATACCATTGCCCGAGAACGTGATTTCGGGACCCCTGGAACGCCGACATCCGCGCGTCCGCAAGGGGACCTCCCGGCCAAAAATGAGAACGCCTGGCGCGAGAAGCCCGCCCCGTGGTTTCTCGAAGCATGGAACAACTCTGGCTGCCAGAAGGCTGGCGATGTCGTTTGCAAAAACGACCCAGCCACGCACGCCGCCTGCGCGCACAGTGCAACACCAACTGCTACGTTCAAGCGAAACTTCTGCAGGCGCGGATTGAGTTTGAAATGTCAAAGACACGCGTGCAAAACTGCAAGGCGGCGGCGATTCCGAATCTGAAACCGCTCGCCAACCAGAGCGCGCACAATACGCTTGCTTCCACACTTGTTCTGGGTCGCAAAAATTCAGAGAACCAGTCGCGCAACCCCGCAACAATCCCGACCCTTGCATAACATGTGCGCAAACCGCACGACGCCTCATGGCCCAGCGCGCCGCGCTAGCCCACGCGCGAAACGAGCAGCAAACCTTCAACCGCATCGCGCTGAAGCAATGCGTTTCTCGAGACATTACAAAACCATCGGGCCGCGCAAAACAACGCTCGAACACTGTCGCGCAGAAGAGGCGCGACGCGAGGCATATCGACGCCTGGACGGCATCGACGGAACCGCCGCCGCCCCCAGGGCGCGAAACCCGAGTTACCCCTGACCCGAGTAAGCCCTAATGATCCGGGGCTCTGCCCGTCTCCAGGCACGAGCGCGCTGCTGCAGCCGCCCGAAGGGCGTCCGGCGTGCGAGCGCTCTACTGCGAGACCAAGCCCGCCGACTGCACATCTGGACGTGCGGGGAAGGGAGGCCGGGCGGGGAGAGGAGCAGTGGTCGCGCCCCCGTGCAGGTGCACAGCGGCTGGGCGGGAGGGAGGGAAAGGGGAGGGACGGGACGTCCATCCCCTGTGTGTTTTTCGGTTTCGTGCGTGGCTTTTTCGCCAAATGATCAAGGATGCTCGTCGATGGTCCTCGTCGAAAAAAAAAACGCACACGTCCGAGCGATGCCTAGGGGGGGGGGGGCTTCGAGGGGAGGTGCCGAGGGGCTCTCGGGCGCGCGCTCCGGGCATGCGCGGGGGTTGCCGGGCAGGCTCGGGGAGCGGCCTGGGCTCCAGAGGGTCGTGGGGCGTCGACGGGGGAAGAGAGCGGAGGTGGACGGGCAAGGACGGAGGGAGGGAGGAAGAGAGGAAGGAGGAAAAGGAGGAGGGGGAGGAGGTGGAGGAGGTGGAGGTGGAGGGAGGGGAGGGAGGGGAGGGGGGACGCTGCTGATGGAGGGGAAAGGGGATTACGGGAGAGAGAGAGAGAGAGAGAGAGAGAGAGAGAAAGAGAGAGAGAGGAGAGCGAACACGAGGGACCAGGTTTCACGCCCCCCCCCCCCCTCCAATGCATGCTGCAATGTTGCTTGCTTGTGGTGCTTAACGCTCCATCATCATGGTGAGACTGATGTTGGTTGCTGTAGGCACAGAAATGCAATCAACTTTGGGGATGAATCAGATCTGAAGATGGATGCGACGATCTGTGCTAGAGCCTGCGGATGCTGCATGTGCACTCGCCACAGGAGGATCGATATGTGAACGTTCATCGCAAGGAGCAACACGATAGCCACAGCGCCCATAGCCCATCCCAGCAACTTCACGGCAACTGCCATGGACAATATTCCTGCGAGCAAGGGGAGGGTCTACCTATCATGGCACTGCGTGCGGCCAATAGCTTGCGACCTTGTGCTCGCTGCTGCATGCTGCTGCATGACAAGTTTTGCCGACCTGGCATGGCTAAGCGAGGACACTCCTCGCCTAAGACACGAGACCGCGGGCATCGTTCCGTGTGGAATCTGGGAGAAAGTCCGCTCGGCCCCCGCAGGGCCCCCCGCATTCATTTAAGAAGTGATTCTGGCTGGGCCGACGCCGCACCATAACGATTCGTTTTTGGTGCGGCTGCAAACTCTTTGACTACCTACCAGACCACCCCAACCCAACACGAAGACCCGAATTTGACCCGAATTTCGGGTTGGGGGTGGTACGGGTCCCATGTGTTTTTACAATGTTCCCGACCCCCACCTACTAGAAATGGAGGTCAAATTGAAGCCTTCGGGTTGGGTTGGGGTGGTTTGGTAGGTGGTGACTCTTGGAACCAAGAGAGGCTGGGAAGGCTCTTCTGATTGCGCCACCCGCAGAACATGTGGGGGATGCATGAGGGTAGAACGCTGAGCTGGCCCGACACATGCAATCACTTCGGGTAGGCTCTGCCTGCCCCTGCGTCACGATGGCTCCGACCAAGGTGTAAGAGGCAGGGCATGCCGAAGCGCGCAATTAAGCCTATCACCAGAATATCAGATGACAAAAGGCTGTATCGCGAATGAAACGGGAGGCCGGCTCCCGGGAGAGGGCAGTGCCCCTGGGACAAGACGGCCCAGAATGTCTGAGACCATACTCTGAGGCATCAGTGGCGACGCTATTCGGGTGACAGGTGCAAATTTCAGACACTGCTGATGGATGCATTCGGCCCAAACCGCGCGGTGCCTCCGGCGTACCACAGCCGTCCGTGGAGCTCCAGAGGCCCAAACTAGACTTCGAAGAACACAATCCCACCATACCCAGCGGAGCAATGCCCTCACGGAGCGGTGTGAAAGGCATCTCGTACCAACACTGCGCGTCGACCTGTTCAACGTTGTGCGTCAACGCTGAACCCTTGATCCCCCTCCTCCACCGTTTACTCTCTTTGCTGCTGTTCCTCATCTTCCTCCATGCTCCCGTCCCCCATCCCTCCAGCATTGAACGGCAAGACCGTGCGTAATAGCAGGAGGACTACTGTGCCCCGCAAGCGTGGTCCAATTGAGCGCAAGCAAACGGAGCACAAAGAACAGGGCAGCATTGCAGATTAGCATTTTTGAAATCGTTGTAAGGACCTTACCAGACCTGTACCTCGCCACTCTGGAAAATTAGCCTGGCGAAGAACCCAACCATATGCAGTTGTCAGTACCGCAGCTGCGGGTTTCATCTTCAAAGGAACTCCCCATAGGACCACGGAACGTGTGAGGGGTGTGCCGAGATGGGTGCCACTGGGGCATTCGGTGAAGCTCCCTATGGGGACATGAAACACGCGCGGGGCGTGCCGACATGGGTGGCGGAAACGCATGTGAGGGCCGCCACTGGGGCCTCCAAGGGAGCTCCCTATGGGTCCCCGAAACATGATGCTGCTGCGGGGGGGGTGCCGGGATGGGTGGCGGAGACGCATGTAAGCGCCGCTACTGGGGCCTTCGGTGGAGCTCCCTATGGAGCCACGAAGCGCGTGAGGGGTGTACTGTGAGCGCCGCCACTGGGGCCTTCGGTGCAGCTCCCTACGAGGCCACGAAACGTGTGAGGGGTGTGCCGAATTGGGTGCGGGTGGTGACGCATGCGGGCGGTGCCACTGGGGCCTTCGGTGGAGCTCCCTATGGGGCCACGAAACCTGTTGTTGTGAGGAGCGTGCCGGGATGGGTGGCGGGGACGCATGTGAGCGCGGCCGCTGGGGCCTTCGGTGGAGCTCCCTATGGGGCCACGAAGCGTGTGAGGGGTGTGCCGAATTGGGTGTGCGGGACGCATGCGGGCGGCAGCCCTGGGGCCTTCGGTGGAGCTCCCTATGGGGCCACGAAACGTGTGAGGGGTGTGCCGAATTGGGTGTGCGGACGCATGCGGGCGGCAGCGCTGGGGCCTTCGGTGGAGCTCCCTATGGGGCCACGAAACGTGTGAGGGGTGTGCCGACTTGGGTGTGCGTGACGCATGCGGGCGGCAGCACTGGGGCCTTCGGTGGAGCTCCCTATGGGGCCACGAAACGTGTGAGGGGTGTGCCGAAGTGGGTGTGCGTGACGCATGCAGGCGGCGGCACTGGGGGGCCACGAAGCGTGTGAGGGGTGTGCCGAATTGGGTGTGCGTGACGCATGCGGCGGCAGCACTGGGGCCTTCGGCGGAGCTTCCTATGGGGCCACGAAACGTGTGAGGGGTGTGCCGAATTGGGTGTGCGTGACGCATGCGGGCGGCAGCACTGGGGCCTTCGGCGGAGCTCCCTATGGGGCCACGAAACGTGTGAGGGGTGTGCCGAATTGGGTGTGCGGGACGCATGCGGGCGGCAGCCCTGGGGCCTTCGGCGGAGCTTCCTATGGGGCCACGAAGCGTGTGAGGGGTGTGCCGAATTGGGTGTGCGTGACGCATGCGGGCGGCAGCACTGGGGCCTTCGGCGGAGCTCCTATGGGGCCACGAAACGTGTGAGGGGTGTGCCGAATTGGGTGTGCGTGACGCATGCGGGCGGCAGCACTGGGGCCTTCGGCGGAGCTCCTATGGGGCCACGAAACGTGTGAGGGGTGTGCCGAATTGGGTGTGCGTGACGCATGCGGGCGGCAGCGCTGGGGCCTTCGGCGGAGCTCACGAAGCTATGGGGCCACGAAACGTGTGAGGGGTGTGCCGAATTGGGTGTGCGTGACGCATGCGGGCGGCAGCACTGGGGCCTTCGGCGGAGCTCCCTATGGGGCCACGAAACGTGTGAGGGGTGTGCCGAATTGGGTGTGCGTGACGCATGCGGGCGGCAGCACTGGGGCCTTCGGCTCCCTATGGGGCCACGAAACGTGTGAGGGGTGTGCCGAATTGGGTGTGCGTGACGCATGCGGGCGGCAGCACTGGGGCCTTCGTGGAGCTCCCTATGGGGCCACGAAACGTGTGAGGGTGTGTGCCGAATTGGGTGTGCGTGACGCATGCACGGCTATGGGGCCACGAAACGTGTGAGGGGTGTGCCGAATGGGTGTGCGTGACGCATGCGGGCGGCAGCACTGGGGCCTTCGGTGGAGCTCCCTATGGGGCCACGAAACGTGTGAGGGGTGTGCCGAATTGGGTGTGCGTGACGCATGCGGGCGGCAGCAAGGAGGAGGGGGAGGAAGGGAGGAAGGAGAACGCGGGGCACCGTCTCTTCAAAACGAGGACCCAACACCACAGGATGGTTGGGAAAAAACAGCCTGGATACACATTGGTGATCAGCCAGCCAACGCCAAAACGAAGGTGGCCGATTTTCACAAGCAACGCAACCAGTCATTACACCTTTTCGTGGTGGCATTCTTCGCCTCTCAGTGTTGCGCCAGATTGCGCCAGGCATCGCTCTGAAGAGCGAGGCCGGAGAAACGATGTGGTCGGGGGCACGAGTCTGGAAGGACACCCTCTGCCGTTGCCTCTCCTTCTCTTCACCCCACTCCTCTGCTCCCTCCGTGCCCTCTGCCTGCCTCTCCTTCCACACTCCTCTGCCTGCCACTCCCTCCATCTCTCTCTCTCTCTCTTTCTCTCTGCATCTCTCCCGCTCTCCCGTTCCCTCCCTTCGCCACGTCGGCAACACTTCCATCTGCCTCCGCCTGCTCCTCTTACCCCTCCTCCTTACCTCCGCGTCTCTCTCTTTTTCTCTCTCTCTCTCTCTCTGTCCCTCCCCCCCCGCCTCCCTGTACATAAATATGTGTATATATACATATATACAGGTGATTCTACACCTAAGACGTGCTGATTCCTTCCTACCTCTCTACCTTTCCCTCTCCCCTCTCCCCTCTTTCTCTGCACCTCCTCCCAGTCTCTCTTCCTCAACGTAGTTCTCCTCTCTTGAAATGAGCATCGAGAGAAAGGACTTCCTTCCCCTCTTCCCCCAAACTGTCTGGACCTCTTCAACATAGCAGTGGAGACATACTGCGAGATGGTAAATGGGCTCCAACCTGCACCGACCACATCGGCAACAATGATGCCGGCCGTGAGGAAGGCCGAATTGCCACCTCACGGGGCCGCAAGTGCCGCAAGCATGCTGCAGGGATGCCAAAATCGATGCCCGTCCCACTTTCCCTCACCCCTGCTCCAACCTACGCCTCGCCACGCATGTCCTCGTTGCATACGCCGAGGGCTTTTCACGATATACACATCGAGTGGTCCAGCCGGGGGCAGAAAAGGCCCCAGGTCACTCGGTGAAGGAGATCCTCTGCATCCTGCCCAGAGTCATGCATCAATTGTCGGAACAACACTCACACGTGTGCCTGGGTAATATCGATCTCGGCGTTAAGGATCGGCCTTTATCGCAAAAACACTTTACATCCTTCGGCTCTGGGGATCCTTACCACGTGTGGGCGCGCGCATCCTTGGCTTTCTTGCGGCTTCAAGGATCTTGCATCCTCAAACTCCATCCTGATTGCTGACTTTTGGCTGTATGCTGCGCTGCCGCTTCTGACATGGCCGCGCCAGAATGCGCTGCGAGGCGCAGCCCTTTTGCCAACTCTTGGCCCTCGGACCCCGGTGTCGCACAACTGCACCGAACGACTTGGACATGCCTGCCGATTCGAGGCTCGAGCCCCACGAGGTGCGCCGCATTTCAGGAATCGTGGACACCGAATGGTCCAGCGTTGTCCGAACGCGCACGTGCACGAATGCCTACTCCACTCTGCACGGTTTCCCCCGGGGCCGTAGGCGACCCGAGGCGGAGGAGGAGGAGGAGGAGGAGGAGGAGGAGGAGGCGGAGGAGGAGGAGAAGGGGGAGAAGGAACAGGAGGAGGAACAGGAGGAGAAAGGAGGAGAGGAGGAGGAGGAAAGAGGAGGAGGAGGAGGAAGAGGAGAGGAGGAGGAGGAGGAGGAGGAGGGAGGAGGAGAGGAGGAGGAGGAGGAGGGAGGAGGAGGAGGAGGGAGGAGGAGGAGGAGGAGGGGTCGCCGAAGTCCTTGGGAGATACCCTCCACCTACTCCACTCGCGCGCCCAAATCAATCTCGTGCTGTCGGATGGGCGCCGGCCGCGTTCCCAGACGAGGATCTCGCCGCGGTGCTCTCGCCTCGGCGCCTGCCCCGCGCAGCGGCCGCAAGGTGCGGGTGGACCCCGCGGAGGGCGGCCCAGAGGCCGTCGCTGTGGACCTGGGCCTGGAGGGTCTCCCCGAAGGCCCGGCCCCATCCTCCTCCTCCTCCTCCTCCCTCCTTCTCCTCCTCCTCCTCCTCCTAAGCCCTCCTCCTCCTCCTCTCCTCCTCCTCCTCCCTCCTCCTCCTCCTCCTCCCCTCCTCCTCCTCCTCCTCCTCCTCCTCCTCCTCCTCCTCCTCCTAAGCCCTCCTCCTCCTCCTCCTCCTCCTCCTCCTCCTCCTCCTCCTCCTCCTCCTCCTCCTCTTCCTCCTCCTCCTCCTCCTCCTAAGCCCTCCTCCTCCTTCTCGGGTCGCCTGCGGCCGCGGGGGAAACCGTGCACCTGCGATCTCCCAGGTCGCCCAAATGCACGCCTCGCGCCCCGCGGCGCGCGGTCGTCTTCGCGTCCTCGAGAGGCCACCTTGCAGAGGGGCGCTTGCCTCATCGACCCGAGCCGCGATGCACGAAGTTAGGGGAACAACAAGTGGTATAAACATAAAAACTCGGAGGTCCCGAAAGCGACGGCCGATCTCTTCGACAAGGGCAATGGCGTCTCGTGTCGATCGACTTTGAAGTGCCCCAAACTGAATGGCAGAGGGCCGGCCTGACATTGCGCGCAGCTCAGGCGCGATGGCCACGTCTGCGAAAGCTTTGCCGACGTGGCCAATAATATTGGTCGTCCTGTAGTAATCCTTGGCATCCCTCCCATCCCCTATAGGCTTTCGCAGCGAAGCCGTCTCCCCATGTTTAAGCCTTTGTGGAACGTGGCGGCGGCCTGAAAAACTCCGAGAAGAGGGCCCCCTACAAGATCACCTCCTAACTTCCAGAGTTCAGCTACAACACCTTCGGGATCCTGTCGAGGCCCATTGGCGATCGAGGGGTCCGTCCACTTCAGCGCGGGGGCGCTCTTGAAGTCGGGGGGCCTGCTGAGGGCCATAATGATATCATCCACGTCGTACTGGCCTACGAGTTCCACGTCGGGCGCCTCGGCGATGTTCCGGGGGCCTCCGTCCTCATGCGTGGGCAGCTCAGTTGCCTCGAAGATGGCGCAGAGGGCATCGGCGCGGACCTGTTCGTCCTCGTCGTCGTCGTCGAAACACGAGTACCCCGTGGCTGGGTTGCGGACGGTCAGCCTGGGCATGCGGGGCTTAGGCGCGAGGCGCGTGACGATCGAGTGGCAGCGTTGGATGTCGCGCGCTGCGTCGGCCCGTTCCGCATTGGCAACCAGGGCCGCAATGTGCTGTCGCTTCTCGGATCGCACTACCTGCTCTGCCCGCTTGGCCGCCAGACGAAACTGCGATGCTATATATGGATTATATATATAATCCATATGTAGATGTATATATATACACATTTGTGTAGCCACGAGCTGTGGTCGACGATGTTCGGTCGCATTATGTGGAAGTACTGCTTGCGTTTAATCAAATCCAAAGTAGCGTCAGTGAGGTTCTTATGTGGGGCCAACTTGAGGGATTCAACATAGAGCGCGTAAGCTGCGTCAACAACTGCTCCCTCCACAGAACTGTAATTGCTGGACGTCGAGGTATAGCGTTGGTTGATGCCGCGCTCCTGCTGCCTGTCCTTCGATAGCACGGGCTTGTAGTTCATGGCGGTGCCGTCAGCGACAATCTGGCACCCGTGCTGGTATATCGTCGGGATTCTGAAGAACTTTGAAATCTTGGAGCATCAGGTCGCAGTTCCATATGACAGGTGGGTCTTGCCGAAGCCGCTTACATCGAATTTGTATTGGGGTATCCCCCCGTACTAACGGGCAGAGAATGTAAAACTCGAGCTCCGTGTCCGTAATCTCCTTGCAGCCTGGTGCGTATGTCGTCAATATGGTTCCATGTCGTGCCGTCAGTGTGCAGCCAAGTCCCCGCGTTCTTCTGTCGACTGCCATGAGTGTTCAGCGGTGTCGTTCCGTTATTCTGAAGAATAGAAAGGAAGTGGCTGCAATTCAAGTTTGTGTTTCTCGGTTGTCTGCCAAGGCCCGCATTGCCAGCGTTAGGAAGCTCGGGCGCCACAGTACCATTAGCATCTAGGAACCAAATCAATGATGATTTCTGGGGCACTCTCCGTATAATGCCGTCACAAGTCTGCCAAACAACTGCCTGTGCATGTCTGTGTTCGGTTTGCGCTCGGTCTTTGTCAGCTGCCGCAACATGAGTGATCGCTGTGTTGGTCGGCGCGTAACCGTTCAACATGTAGAGGTCTCGCTCACAAGCTCCTGTTCTCCGAACGCGTATTCCTAGGAGCCTGCCTGGTAGCCATTCGTGGACGCATCGGACCTCCAGCGGGTCGAACAAGTGTAAGTTCAACGCCGTCGAGCAGCCGTCCTTAGCACGTGAAGATCTCCTCGGGGTTGGGTGGACGCGAAAGCCCGCGCTGGTCCAAGACATGGTGGTTTCCATCAGAGTGCTTTGAAAGCATGCTATAGCGATCTGCTGCTCACATACGTGTCTTCACAATTTTCCCCGGCGGTCGACGCATATCAGTGGCTCTGTGCTGTAGCTCCATACCTTCATGATGTGGGTTGGTCTCGGTCTTCGTGGTCTGGCTCTGGGTGGTCGCGGCGGGTTCGAGGAAACGTCGGTGACCATCGGGAAGGACGTCACGTCATGCTTAGAATAGTAGGCAACCATGGGGCGCGTCAGCAACTGGCCTCGATACCAACTGCAGCACGTCTCCCAGCCCGTCTGCCGCCCATGGGCCCTGCTTCTAGCCTGCGCTTGTCGTCGTGGGGCGCCTGCACGCCATCCTCGGAGGTCGGGCATCCTCCGAGCGCTCACCTCGCTGGCTTCGTGGCGACACTCCGCGCCCCGCTGTGCCACAGGCATCGCACATGGCAAAGCTGGCAGGGCGCGCGCGTGAATCGCAGCCTAGGGGGGACTTGCGACAACCCTCCCTGTCGGAGGCAAACGGATCCTTCGAGCCGCCGAGGCTTTGTGCTACTTCCACACACGCGCACTACCCCAAATGATCCTTCGTCGCAGGAGGTCTCGTGAGGGGCTCTAAACCACCGTGCGAACGGCGCTGGTATAGGCACTATGCTAAACCAGAAGCCCGACGAAGAGCGAGCAAAGGCAGGTGGGTATCTTCGTGCCCCAGCCCCGCCCCTACGCGCCCACCAGAAGGAGGACGGCTCTGTAAGGGCAGCCCCCCCCCTCCCCTGAGGAGGGCGGGGGCCACAATGTGCTACTTCCGCCGGCTTCTGCCGGCGGAGGCGGCCGCGTCGCCCTTCCGCGGGCTTCCGCCGCCCTCCCGCCGCCCTCCGCCGAGGAAGAAATGCCAACCCTTTTGCGAGTCTCGAGGGCGAACGCCCCGTTGGATGCGACTGCTGCGCCCGGAGAACATCGAGGGGGGGGGGGGCACCTGTGCCCAAGCCGCCTCAGAGGAAGAATCACTGCAGGAACAGACGGTTTCGGAGCTCCGCGCGGATTGGTTGGATTGGCGCTGGGCCCCCCTCCGTGGGCGCGCAGAGCGCCCGTGGCGGCGCCGGAGGCGCCGCCAGAGCGGCCAAGCGCCAATCTGAGACATCCGCGCGGAACTTCGAACATTTGTGATTATTGTTTTCCCTTCTTCGGCACTTGCCTGACCTTCGCGAGGAGTTTTATGCATATATTTGTATATATGTAAATGTATTTGTATATGTATATATGTACAAAAGCAGAAACGATCGATGGTATAGAGCTCCATGCTCAAATTCTCGATGACAAGCTGTCATGCCGTGACAGCGCGGGGCCGAGAACATGCATCGTCTCGCCACGGTCTTGAATTTCCACGGCCAGGGCAAAATACGTCGCGCTTCCACCCGGCTTCATAACTGAATCAATCTCCACACCCCTTGGAAGTCCACGTGCCCGCACGCAGGGGAAGTATGCTTGATCGGAGATTGGGGGGTGAAGTCGCAATAAAACGGAGAGCCCCCCCCCACTGGGAAATCGGTTCAGGTCTCGTGTCGGGCGGGCGAGGCGACGCTGCGAGGGCGGGCGAGAAGAATGATCCCGCCCTGGCTAAAGCGAACCCCGGCTCAATGTCTCACCTCCATCCGGTTGGCAGGCGGTGGCCCGTGGGTGTCTCTCCTGTGTCCCGTGGTGATGCGTGGTGTTCCGTGATGTCCCGTGGTGTCCCGTGGCGCGGTGTCCCGCGGTGTCCCGCGGAGGTCGATCATAAATTCGATCGTGAGATCGATTGACTGAGATCGATAGTGGCACCAGTAGTGAGATCGATAGCGAGATCGATAGTGAGATCGATCGACAAATCGATCGTGAGATCGACTGTGAGGTCGTATTTGGCATCCATAGACAATGATACCGATAAAAACAAGGAAATCGTAAGGTAGATGGATCATGGGATCGACAGTGAGCTCGCTCGATAAACTGTAAGTGAGATCGATCGTGACTGCGAGAGCAATAGATATTGATGCCGGCCTTGAAAGCGACAGTGAGATAGATGGTGGGGTCTATAGCTGGATTGAAAGTGAGATCGACGGTGAGGTCAACAGATAGTGATATCGATAGGAAGACGGAGATCCGATGGGTGGTCGGAGGCGGTGTTCTGTAGTGTCTCGCGGTGCTCTGCGGCCTTGTATGTCGCGGGCAAAAAATGCCAATTGGCTCCGCTGGTTGCGCAGATATTTTTCGATGGGTGCCCCAAGTGATCGGTGGATGGCCAAACATATCCCTCCCTTCCACGTAACCCCCAAACTCCTTATCACCCAAGAAGGGTGGTCGTATATTTTGTCTAAGGCTGCGGGGAGGAATGCAGAGAGCGAGTGCTTCAGGGAGGTGGATGAGGAGCACGGGGGGATGAGAAGGAAGAGAGGAGAAGACAGAGATGGATGAAGAGCAGGAGGAGCAAGAACAAGGAGGAGGGGGGGAGGAGGAGCCTTCCCCGCATCCCCGGCAGGGTGCCACCGTGTATGGCTGGCGCTGCGTCAGAGCCGACAGCGGCGCCGTAGGCCGCACCGTTCGCAGGCCCGATGGCCTTGGCCTCGTGGGCCTGATGGCTGGCGGTGGCTGCTGGATGGCGGGAGGGGTGCAGAGAACACGAGAGAGAGAGAGAGAACAAGAGAGAAAGCAAGAGAAAGAGAGAGAGAGAGAGAGAGAAACCGAGAGAGAGAGAGAGAGAGAGGGAGAGAGGGAAAGAGAGACAGAGAGAGAGAGAGAGAACAACAGAGAGAACGAGAGGGCGAACGAGAGAGAAAGAGAGAGAACGAGAGAGAATAACTTATGATTGATGTGTTTGTTGTTGTTGTTGGTGGTGCTGCTGTTGTTGTTGTTGCGATTGTTGTTGTTGTTGCTGCTGTTGTTTTTGTTGTTGCTGTTGCTGTTGCTGTTGCTGTTCCTGTTCCTGTTGTTGTTGTTGTTGTTGTTGTTGTTGTTGTCATTATGTGTCTGCTTCGCTGTTGTCTTTTTTTGGGGGCTCTCCCGTCCATAGCTGCGCGCAGGTCGGTAGCCGCCTCCGTGGTGCCCCCGAGGAACAAGAAGTCGTCCCGAGGTCGGCCGCCGCAGGCAGGAGGGCTAACCATTACGACCCGAGAGCGCCACACACAAAAATCACGGCCACGGGCTTGGCTCTTTGGGCGCACTCTTCGGCCTCCGGGGGCCTCCGCCGCCTCCTCCTCCTCCTCCTCCTCCTCGTCCAGCTCCAATTCCCTCCTCCTCCTCCCCCGCCCTCCTCCTCCTCCTCCTCCTCCTCCTCCCTCCTCCTCCTCCCTCCTCCTCCTCCTCCTCCTCCTCCTCCTCCTCCTCCCTCCTCCTCCTCCTCCTCCTCCTCCTCCTCCTCCTCCTCCTCCTCCTCCTCCTCCTCCTCCTCCTCCTCCTCCTCCTCCTCCTCCTCCTTCTACTCCTAGATGGAGAGCCAATCTCGGGGATGGGGTCCGGACTTCCCGGGGCTCGCGCCGTGATCGACTCACGACGCGGGGACTTGGGTCTGGGTTTGGGCGCATCTTCGGCCTCTGGGGGTCCCCGCACGGCCGCGGAGCCGTCATACAGTGGAGGCCCGTCCACAAGAGATCTGCCACAAGACACCCAACCTCCTCTTCTTCCTCCTCCTCCTCCCCCTTCTTCTCGTCCTGTTCCTCCTCCTCATCGTCATCATGATACAGTAGGAGCTCGACCACAAGGAACCTGCCATAAGAGACCCAGCCCTGAGACCCCAGGGCGTCCCTTGGTTTTTGGTGCGGGACGTCACTCCTTCCACAGCATGACCATCGAAACCCCAGAAACCCGGGGCACCCTTGAGGCAAGCAGGGTGTTTCTTGGCATGCGCCCCCACTGTAGCACGGCTCGAGATGAAGAGCCAATCCCGGGGAAAGGGTCCAGACTTCCCAAGGTTCTTTGCGTTGTGATCGACTCACGCCGCGGGAATGGAGGAAGCAAAGAGGCACCGGTACCGCTACTCCTTGGACCTCTCCCCGGCTGCGTTCTGACCAGCATGTCAAGGAGAACCCACCGCTGGCGACGAGGGCCTCCCAGGAGACCCAACCAGGGGAAAACGAGGCAAAGGAAAGGATCTGGGTACCCTTTCCTGCTCCGAGGAGTTCTACAGGGTGCCGGACATCGCAGTTCCCGACAGGACCGTTCCGAGCGGGAGGTCAAATCGTCGACGGGGGCGCCCGGGCAGCGCAGCGCAAGTCGGAGGCGGTCCAGCGAAGGACGGCGGGGCGGCGACAGCCCTGATACTGGGCAGGAGAGGAGAAAGCAAGTCAGATATTCATATATACAGAGAGAGAGAGGGAGAGAGAGAGAGAGAGAGCGACGACAATCACACATACTAGCGATGACGAAAACTAAGTGGGCGGACGAACAACGCACACTCCCGTACCCACAAGGAAGGTCGGACGGAGGTCGTCGGGCCCTGGAGGAGGCTCCCGTTCGAGCGGGGGCTACCATCCGACAGTCCGTACCATAGAACCCTCCGCCCCCCCCCCCCCCTTGGGTATGGGTCCCCCTGCTCCTCCTCCTCCTCCTCCTCCTCCTCCTCCTCCTCCTCCTCCTCCTCCTCCTCCTCCTCTACCTCCTCCTCCTCCGCCCTCCTCCTCCGCGCTCCTCCTCCGCCGCTCCTCCTCCTCCTCCTGCGTGTTGTTCGTTCGCCACCAATGAGGGTATACGAGAAACGGTACATATACATGGGGTGCGTCTACCTGTTCTTCTTACATCAGGATCACCGCGCAAAGCGGCTGCACGACGTGAGGCTGAAAACCACAGAGCACGCCGGGAATGCCACACCAGGCACCACCACTATCATCGGACACGCCAGAGGAATAACGAGGAACAGGTGGGATGACAAAGGACGGCAGACACGAGGCAACGGAGAAACACGAAGCCACGAAGGCAGGGGGCAAGAATGACAAATTATTGAGGAATGCGAGGAAGCCAAGAAAGCCCGGACGAAACAGCAGAACGAACAACAGATACACTGACCAAGCGCCCGGGTCGACAAGCAAGAGCATAAGGGCGAGTGCGGAGGCCTATAAGCAGCGTCGCGCTCCCCCTCCTCCTCCTCCTCCTCCTGCTCCTCCTCGTGGTCGCTATCGAATCGTAGTCTGTCGTTGTCGTCGTCGCTGTCGTCGTCGTCGTCGTCGTCGTCGCGGCGGGAACTACTGTTGGGCGGGCTTGATCATGTTGGGTTTCTCCTCCCACGGATAATCCATTGTGGGCTGCCCTATACGCGAGAGAAAGTGCGAACGTCTTCTCATGATGCTCACACTCGGAATCAGTGGTTGTGATTGTAGTCGTGAATGTAATGGTGGTCGTAGTCGTGATAGTAATCGTGATTGTAGTGGCGAGAATAGTCGTAATCACAATCGTGATGGTAATCGCAATCGTACGTCGTCGTGGTTGTAGTCGTTATCGTAGTCGTAATAGTCGTCGTGCTGTGGTCGTAATCGTAATCGTAATCGTAATCGTAATCGTAATCGTAATCGTAATCGACGTCGTCGTCGTTTTTGCGCGGCGGGTGCCGCGGAGAAGTAACAAGTTTCCGCAATTGGTGGGCCCCAGTCCGTCAATAAGGGCGTCGAAAAAGGATACGTCATTCCTATTGGTTGGTTGGGGGGGGGGCGGGGTTCTAAAAATCCTTCCCGATTACCCTGGGGAAGCCGATCATCCTTACCATCAATGTTGACTGTACCTGGGAAGACGAGAGCCCACCCCCACCCCCAGTCCCGACTCCATCCCCGAACTCGCGACCCAGGGGGTCGGGACCTTGGTTGGAGGTTTTTCGGGGTCCAAGAATCGAGACAACGCCCCAATTTCCAGTCCCGACCCCCTAGATCGCGGGCTCGGGGATGGGAGTCGGGACTAGGGTTAGCTCGGGCATGTCCTCCTGCAGGCTGATTTTGGATGAAAAAATGCAAAGTAGTCAAACTATGCTCCAACATAGTCAACAAAATAATGCAAAAATCGTCACCTCACTATTTTTGATTATTTTTGAATGCTCCTCCTGTAGAGGCACGTGCCCGACTCCAGACTGGGGGTGGGGGTGGGCTTTCGCCCCTTGAATACACTAGGGACCCGACCACAAGAAACCTCCCTCAAGAAACCCAGCCCTGAGACTCCAGGACGTCCATGGATTTTCTGGTGCGGGAACGTCACGCTAGCAAAACCATCGACACCCAAGAAACCCAGGGCACAGGAGGTGGAGGAGGAGGAGGAGGATCGAGGAGGAGGAGGAGGAGGACAGAGGAGGATCGAGGAGGGGGATCCCTCCTCGACCCTCCTCTCTCCTCGCCCAGCCCCTCACCCCTGGGACGACGCCCTGCCGTTCTCTCCCCCGGGCCGCCGCCGTCGCTGCCGCTCCCGATGCCGCCCACCTGGGGCTTCGCCCCTCCCCCGGACCCTCTTCTGCTTTCCCCGACGCCTCTCTGAAGGCGCTCCTCTCTGAAAGGCGCTCCTCCTCCACCCTCCTCCTCCTCCTCCTCCTCCTCCTCCTCCTCCTCCTCCTCCTCCTCATTCACTCCTCTTCCTCCTCCTCCTCCTCATTCACTCCTCCTCTCCTCCTCCTCCTCCTCCTCCTCCCTCCACTCCTACTCCTCATTCACTCCTCCTCCTCCTCCTCCTCCCTCCTCCTCCTCCTCCTCCTCCTCCTCCTCCTCCGCAAGCCCGCTCCCGCCTCCTGCCGCGCCCGCTCCCGACTCTTCCCGCGAGCCCGCTCCCACCTCTCTGAGAGAGTTCCTCGCCGAGAAGCCCTCCTCCTCCTCCTCCTCCTCCTCCTCCTCCTCCTCGCACCTCCTCGCACCTCCTACTCCTCCTCCTCCTCCTCCTCCCCCTCCTCGCACCTCCTCGCACCTCCTCCTCCTCCTCCTCCTCCTCCTCGCACGTGGCCGCGTGAAGGGTTCATCCCTCACACAACTTGGCCTGCCGAAGAAGCTGCGTACGAGCGGCTCGTGCACAACATGGGAGATCCAGAGGACGCGAGAGCGCATGACTGCGTGCACTGAGCACATCGAAGGCAATCATGAGACGCTGGCAAGCAAGATCACCTTCAGCATCAGAGGCACGCCTGCACTCCTCCGCGAGCCCGCTCCCCCCTCCTCCCGCGCCCCTCGTGCAACACAGCCCCCGCGGCGGTGGCACGCGCCGAGACGTGCGACGGTGTGACCCGCACGAGGGCGACAGCAGGACGGGAATGATGTCATGATAGGATGGGCTCAGGATGCGTTTCAGAACTTCCAGAATATCTGGCGTCCTTCTTTTCTGCAGCCCCTGTGGAAAATCAGGAAATCAAGGACATCCCAGAAATCTTGGAACGTATCGTTCTCATGACCTTTTGACCGACCTTCTGCTCCTCCGAAGGAGCACCAGCCTGAGCCATTGCCGCAGCGGGTCCCCGAGGCACGCCCGGGGCGCTCACTGGCACGGCATCTCTACTCGGGGGTCGCTGGAAGTGCTCTAGTTGGCGGCGCGCGCAACGGGGTGGGGGGAGGGGGGACAACTTCTTAGAAACACCTTGCTTCTCAGAAGGCGCCGGCCCTGCGTCTAGAGACAAGGCGCAGGGCCGGCGCCTTCTGAGAAGGCGCGGGCCTTGTCTCTAGACGCAGGGCCGGCGACCTCTGAGAAGCAAAGTGC